ACTACTGCAGCGGTGGAGCAAAAAAGCTCCCAGGCGGGAAAAGAAAAATGAAATTGGTGACACAAGTGAAAAGAAAATAATCTCCCTGTGTGGTAGCCAAGGGCCTTTTGTTCCTCTTCCGCTTCGTCCAGGGGCTGGGAAGGGCAGCATTTACCAGTCCCGCCACAGACGCAATGCCCAGGCAGTGCGGTGGGCTGGGGAGTCCTTCCCTCCACCAGGTCCCGGGGTGGAGAGGGACCACAGGGCTTTCTCTTTAATGCAATGCTATGAATACTCAGGGTCTTTTTGCTCACTGTTTAATGGATTTGAATGTGAAAAGGTGGTGGAATTGGAAAGAGGGAGAAGAGAGGGGGGAGGCTGGGCCTCTTTGTTTGGGGATGCTGCTCCAGCCCGGGATTTATTTAGCATTTGGAGGGCTCGGGGTCTTTCTCTCCTCCCCAGCCACTGCAAAGGCTCTCTCCCTTTTCTGCCTCATGCTTATTAGCATAGCAGCTGCTCCGTGAGAGGGGCTAGTCAAGGGAAAGGGACAGAGGCGTCCTGAAAATGAATAGGAGGAGAAAAAAAATAACTTAAAAGGACAGAGGCTTTGAATGGGGGGGAGCTGTGAGTGGAAAAAGAGGCAGGGGGAGACTCAGAGTTGTCACCGTAGCTTTGAATGCAAGCAGGGCAAAACGCGAGGGCTGGAGCGGCGCCGCGGGGCACAGCCGCCCCAGCGGGGACGATGACCTGCTCCTCCTGCTGGGAAACGAGGCTGGCGCTCCCCTGCTCCCCAGCTCACAGGGACATGAAGGGAGCTGCTCCATCCGGCACCCACAGCCCTGCTCCTTGCGCTCTGCAGGCATTGGGGAAGCCCTCACCCTGTGTCCTTGCTGCTCCTTCCCCATGAAGCTGCTCCTTCTCCATGGAACTGGGACTTCAGGATGACCGAGTTAGCCATTAAAAAGATGATACTTTCATTAAATCAAGTGTTTGGCAAGCCACCATAGTGCTCCTGCAACACAGGCCCTTGTCCCCAGCATGCAGAGCCCCAGTTGTGCTGAGATCACAGAATCCTAGAAGGGATGAGGTTGGTAGGGAGCTCTGGATTTCACCCAACTCAATCCCYCCACTCAAGCTGGGTCACTTAGAACACATTGCCCAGGATCTTGTCCAGACAGCCTTTGATTATCTCCAAGTAAAGAGACTCCATGACCCTCTATGAGCAACTTGTTCCAGTGCTCTATGACGCTCCCAYTAAAAAAAGATTCTCCTTATGTTCAGACAGAATTTCCTGTGTTTCAGTTTGTTCCCTTTGCCTTTTGTCTTATCACTTGGCATCACTGAAAAGTCTGGTCCCATCCTCTTTACATGGTGCCTTTAAATATTATACACATTGATAAGATCTCCCCTCTGTCTCCTCTTCTCCAGATTGAACATTCTCAGATCCCTCAGCCTTTCATCATCTGAGAAGTTCTCTAGTCTCTTCATCATCTTAGTAATCTCCCACTGGACTTGCTTCAGTAGCTCCATTTCTTTCTTGTATTGGAGAGCACAGACTTGGACACACTACTCCAGATGTCGCCTCACCAGGATCTCCTCCCTCCACCTGCTGGCAATGTTCTTCCTAGCGCAGCTCACAATGCTGTTGGCCTTCTTTGCCACAAGGCCACATTGCTRGCTCGTGGTCRCTTTGTTGTGCACATGAACTTACAAGTCCTTCTCTGCAGACCTGCTCTCCCAGCCTGTCCTGGTGCCTGTATGGTGTTATTCCTCCCTAGGTGCAGGACTCTGTTGTTGAACTTCATGAGGTTGCTCTCCACCTTGCACTCTAGCCTCTTGAGGTCCCTCTGAATGGCAACACAGCTGTGATGTATCAACAATTCCGATTTGAGGGTCATCAGCAGATCGGTTGATAGGACACTCTGTGCCTTCATGCAGGTCATTAATGAATAAGCCGRATAGTACTGGACTCAGTATTGATCCCCAGGGGACACTGCTGGCTACAGGCCTCCAACTAGAGGACACAATTCTCAGGCAACTTTTTTCTCCATGTCCTTTCAAAGGTATTTGGGAGTGATGGCCTAGCAGCCACATCTATAGTTTCCTTCACACTTGAAGGTGCATGGACTTGTGGAAGTCAAGTTTTCCTAAGTGATCTCTAACTGGATCCTTCTCCATCAAGGGAAAGTCTTCCTTTCTCCAGATTTTCTACCTGGTCTCAAGGGCCTGGGACTCCTGAGGGCTGGTCTTGACAGGAAAGACTGAGGCAAAGAAGGCATTAAATATCTTTGCCTTTTCTGCATGCTTTGTCACCAGGTCTTCTGTTCCATTTGACTTCCTCCTCGTATGGATGGATCATTCTTGAGCTCRAAAGAGGTGAACCTTGGATATTAACCAGCTCTCTTGGACTCTTCTTCCTTCTAGGGACACATCCCATGGAATTCTTTCAAGAAGATCCATAAAGAGGCCCAAGTCTGCTCTCCGGAAGTCCAGGGTTGTGATCCTAGTTTTTGCCCTGCTCACTCTTTGCAGAATCCTGCACTCCACCATGTCATGCTCACTGCAGTCCAGGCTGCTCCCAAAATAATATATCCCACATGGGCAGAAGTTTGGTCTGCTGCAGAAATTCAGGGAGAAAGTCTAGCACATTCAGTGACCATCGATGCCATATATAATAGCATTGCTTTTGACTGGAAACTGGTGAGAAGTGTTCTTTCATCTACAAAACAAAACAAAATAAAACAGAACAACCTCAAAATTAAAAAAGGATGTTTCAATGCTATGCCTAGGATGAAAGACGACCTTGGAGGTGCCATTTACAAGTAGAAGCTCTCCTTAGACGCAGAATTAATTTATTGCATGGAGTCTGCTCGTGAGTCAAAGCTGGATTTCAGGGCACATCAATTCACAAACTGCATTTGCCCTATGATGCCAGGTTCTGCTCAGTTAGGCCCTGTGTGAAGGCTCAGTCTGGCATGGCTGAGTGCCCCACCAAAGCATTGYAGAAACTTGACAGGCTTGGCAGTGGTTTCCTGGCCAATGTCCCTTTCAAACAGGGGTCCAGGAGCCCACACACAGCTGGGCTAACCCTACCCTTGCTTTGAGTTATGCTGGAACGTCTTGCTGCAATCTGGCAGTGGCAGCRCTCAGATGGGCTCCAACAGGGTTTGCACCTACCAGAAAATGGGCACAGATGGATGGATTGGCAGAGCCAGGCACATTGACGATGTCTTGGTCCTGACTGGGATAAATATGAAGCAGTTTCATGCCCATATAATTCAGAGACAAGGATGTGCCAGTGAGTGTGTGCAAGTGCTGTCYGCATGTGCTGGGGTATGAGGAGGCCCGTTTTGGAGTGGGGTGTCTTCCAAAGGAGCTGCAGCACAGCAGGTCCAGGCCAGGATCTGTTGCCTTGCTATGGTCAGGAGGTGCTTCTTGMGTTGGACTGCCCACAGAGACTGCTGCCAGCTACACAGAGGTACAATGCATATGCGTAGAGGATTCAGGCTGAATGAAGAGTTTCCAGTGCAAGATGTGGTCCTAGTCACCCTGCATCATGATGTCCTTCAAGTCACCCAGCTTTCCCTTTATCCTTTCCCCTACCCATCCCTCCACCCAACAAACCTTGCACCTCTCCAGGTTGCGCAAACCCTACTTGTGCCTTCCCCAAACAAAAAAAAACTTATGATGTTGCCCTGGTTGGACATTTTATGAAGGCCAAGTTTAGTAGAAAGATAAACTGGGAACATGAAAAAGGCGAAAACTACATTGGAGTCACATCTCAGTTTGCCGTGTCTGTGTGAGACAGACCAATTCCTATGCRCATCCCTGCCAGGCTGTGGGGTCCTTGGAAGGTAACTGTGATGAGTGCTCATGGTGGCATTAGGACACAACAGATGAAACATTATTGGGAAGGGAAAAAGATACTTCTCCTGCCTGGCACAATGAGGCAGTATCATCCTCTGGAAGTTCATGCTGCCGCTAGAGGAGCTGCTTGCAGTTCCTCTGCTAACATGAGAGACACTGTCCCAGACTCTGCTCCCACTGATAGGGCATAGAATTTGGACCTGAATCCCACCATGCATCTTCCTCCTGGCAAGGTGCAAGGTTTGATAATACAGTAGGAATAGGTGGGTGAAGTGAAGCAGGGAGAGGAAGGCTGTCTACTCGGGAAATAGTGTGGACTAGGGATCAGCCCAGGCCTCGGAGGGATGACTGAGGGTCTGGACTTTTGCAGCCAGGCTTGGCATTCTTGGATGAGCTCTTGTATCATCCCTGCAACTTCGGATCAGTACCGGAAAGTGGTTTGAAACTAAGGATGTCCCATGAAGCACAGCCAGCAGATGTTGCAGCAACCCGCTGTCATTGTGCTGTCGCGTACCCTTCTAACAGCAGCGCCCCATCAGCCCCGTTACTCTCATGCAGTGGGGTTTTCACCCTGACAGTGGGGAATCTAGTCCAGAAGGCATCAAGAAGTGGCAGGATACTAAGACTGGAAACAAGGGCACCCTGAAACAGCTAGACTGAGCCCCCATCTCCTCCCCGCCACAGAACAGTAGGCAATTGTGATCTTTGAAAAAGGTAACTCCTATTGGGATTGCCAGGCTCGGGCATTATCATAGTCATACAAATGCCCAACAAAGCATCTATTTAAAATGTACTGAATTTTGATTGCAGCCCTTCCCCTCTCGCTTCCCYGCTCGCTGTCTTTCTTTCTCATTCATTACTTACTGTGTTAAGCTCCCTGAAATTCAAATAAAATCCCACCTCCCCACACGCCCCCCCTCCATATGCATTGGGCAATTCAGCTCTGCTGTCTGCGCTTGACAAATGAAGGGGGATACAGGAGAAGACAAAGCTGTCAAACTTCTCCGGGCTGTGTTGACTTCCCATCACCCCTGAGGACCATGGGGAGACCGATCCATCTGTTTTGGAGTCAGTAGCACAAACAAAAGCAGGAGACAATGGCAGGAAGCACTTGAAAGTTCAAATTCTTTCTTTGGTTTTTCTTGGAACAACAGATTCAACGTAATGTGGCCGGCGGACAATACCACACGGCCAGGGCCACAAAAAAAAATGACAGAAGAATGTGCTTACGACATCAAATGTCCCAATTATTTTTGTTTTATTGGAACAAAAATAGAAGAGAAGGAAAAAAACCCTACACCCAGCACTTTGGAGTTCCTAGATTTCTTGGACGGTGTCGCGTTAGCGTTGGGAGCTGCGGAGCAAAGCGGCGCTGGGTTGAGCAGGGAGGCTGATGCCGCGCGGCGCCGGAGGGCAGAGAGCGGCTGCGGCGCCAGCCTCCCTGCTCAGCCCGAGGGGTGGAAGCGCTCTGCCCGCAGCTCGGCCTCTCCAGCGCCGGGCCGGGTGCCAGCCAGGCGCGATTTGTATTCAGTGCCCAGGAGAAAGGCTCTGCCGGGGGGCTCTGCACAGCCCCAGCTCCTTCTCTGCGCTGCGGAGGGGCCGGCTCTGTGCAGAGCCGTGCCTGCTCCTCAGAGCCCTGGGCAACGTGAGCCCTCCTGCGGGTCTTGCTCCATGCGGAGCAGACGGATGAGCACCCTAGGACAAGCTGAGGGAGAGGGTGGCAATGGTACCCATTCATCTCACTGCCCAGAAATCACGAGTTTATGGTCAGGGTAAGGAAGGCAGGGTACAGAGGATACGCGGCTTGCAGGAGGCAAGTTCCATGGAGTTAACTGGTGACAGCACCCATAGATGCAATCCCACAGCTGCCCCCAGTCCTGGGACATGAAGGTGGCATTGGGAGATCTGGTGGTGCCCTTATCTTTATAGGCCTTCACCGGCACGTGGCTTAGGGCTTGGGCCTACAGGTCTCTTTTGAGCTGGTCCTCGCCTTCATTTCCCTTTTGGTGACAGGGATCCTGCGCATGTCACCTCAGTRTGGAAAGGGTCATTTGCAGTGTTGGCATCTGTGGGTGTCAAAGCGATGCTAATGCCCATGCTACATCCTGGCACCCATCCCAGCCTGATCAGATGGAGAGTGGGAGCAGGGCCTGGTGCTCAGGTCATTGCAGAGGGGAGGAAGGCCAGGTAGCCAGTGAGGCCACATCAGGATCAGGGAGATCCTGCCCRTGCTGTCTCACGCCAGGCTTCTCTACTGGGGCTCCTTCTTTCATCTTCTCAGGATGCTGCTCTTGGAGGCCTCAGACAGCAAGGATCCACCACAGACACTGAGCTGGGCATGGAAAAAAATCCCAGGGATYTGGGGAATTTCAAAATCCCTCCCAAATTATCAACATGAAGAAAAAGATTGATCACAAATGTCCATTCCTGATAATGTGCATCTCYTCCATGTCTGTCCTGTGCAAGCCCCAGTTTTGGGAAGGGAACCCAGCTGATGGAGGCATTGGCCTGTCTCTGCTCTTCTCACTTCCCCAGCCTGATTTCACCTGGAATCGCGTCCAGAGATGCGGAGTCCAGCCCACATTTGTTGTCTTGCTCTTAGCCACATGAGGGGATTGCAGACATCTCTGCTGCCACCAACCCACACTCCATATCCTCGTCCTAGAGTCAGAAGAGTCCTCGTCCTGAACTTCATTGCCACCTGAAGCCACTAACTGCATCAATCTGACAGCAATTTCCAAAGGACATCACCCCATTATCACAGCCCCAGAGAGGTTACCTCAAAGCCTTGCTAAGGGACAACAGAGAAAAATAAACTCAAATTGTTCCCAGAGAGCCGACGAGGCTCGGGCAGCATGTGGCGGATTATGCATTTCCGTGGCCTGGGATTCCTGCTGTTGGGAGATGCCCCATGGTTAGCCTCAGCTCTCGCACCTAGCTCTTTTGCACAGGCAACTCCCACCTTTTTTTAGTACTGCCTTAAACTCTGCATGCTTAGGCTGAGACAGGGCTTCAGTGGAAGCCCAGGTGCTCCAGAGTGCCCATCCCAATGTCTGTAACGAGTGAGAGGCATGTGAAGGGTTGGGATGGAGGAAATGGGCATTCTGCAGGATCGTGACCTACAGGATGTTTTCCCCCAGGGGATAGGAGGGGGCAGCACATCCTGCACACACAAGCAACCCTTCAGGGGATGTATTTAGTGCTGGGTCCCCTTTCCCACCAAGGACCAGCAGTGAACGCTGGGATGGGGCCATCCCAAGCCAGCAAGAGTAGGGCCAGGGCCACCCCAGAACCTGAAGGTCACAGTCCACAGCGGCCAGCCCAGCGCGTACCGTGCCCAAAGAGGGACCCAGGCACCCCGGCAGCCGCCCCCCAGCTCCAGCTGGTGGCCCCACTTCTCCCCGGGCTTTCTGCCCCAGAGCCTCCAGCGGCCATGCAGGCCTCAGGCCGCGGGGCAAGGCCACGCTCCGAAAGCGGCGGCTCCGCCACCGCCGATGACCGCGCGGGGAAAGAACAGACAGAAAAGGCAATTTTTTCTTTTTTTTTTTTTTTTTATAAAAAGATCAATGAAAAATTTATTTATAAATTTCGCACTCTGGGGCTACACGGCTATATCATACACTCAGGCATATGCTGTACTGTACAGACTTTATCCAGTTAGAAATGATCATATAGTGACCCACATACAGCTTCAATATAAGCCTAAAAATTCTTAACATTAATTAACATAATTAAAAAAGGTATTTGCATCTAAAGAAAAAAATCTACAGAAAAACTCCTTTCTGGAGCAATCTGTGCATCAGCTTCAATGTCTGCTTATTTCACTGACATTATCAATATATTCTTCTTACAAAAATAATAATAATAATTAAAGAAGGCGACAGCCGTGGGGCGGCGCGCACACAAGAGCCTCCCCTGCCTCTCCTCTCGCCCGTCCTCCCCGTTTTGGCGTGAAGGGTCAGCAGCACTAGAGCCAATGAGGGGGCGGGGGACCCTCATTTCAATTCGAATCAATCTGCATCCCTTTGACTTCACAGGGTAAAGAGAGATTTTGGGGGGGGGACACAGGGGGTTGCATAGAAAATTGAAACTCTAGGGACTAGGAAGGGCAGCAGCTTTTCAGTAAAATACGAAAAAAAAAGGGATGTAAAAACACATCAACTCACAATTTCAGAGCAAACCCCCTTCCCCCAACATACAATTTCAAAAAAAAAAAAAAAAGAAAATTAAAAATCTCAGTGTGTCTAAAGCTCCGGGAGGCTGGAAAGGAACAATACTTTTCTTCAATTCACTCAGCAATTCACACAGGAGATATTCACAGTCTTAATAGGTATTTTATAAAAATATAAATATGGGTTACATCATGTTGTCTTTACAACACTGGACAGAGCTCCCTTTAGACTGGGTTTATAACCAAGGTTTCTTTTTTTCTTTTTTTTAAGAATCCATCTAGAACTTGGCTTTAAAATACACCTTTTTTAATATCATGTCATAAATGTTATGACATTTCATTGTGGTAACTCCATTTCAACCAAGGAAAAAAATATGTGCAACTGTCTGGTAACCATAATAAAAACCTCTCTAGAAAAGATATTGTTCCCCACCCCATAACTATTACACAGAAGCACCAAGGGAAGCGCTTAACACTGCCTTCAATGCTCACAGAAAATAAAGATTTCAACAAAGCAGTTCCTTGCGAAATACAGCAATAACAGTAGACACTTTCAACAAGCCTTTCTTTTTGCTTTTTCTCCTTTTTTYCCCCCCCTCTTTAAAACTGGAGCTTTTTAATTATCGCAAATTGTTGAAGCAAAACCAAACAAAACAAAATGCAGGTGAAACCGTCAGACAAGGCAGAATATTCAGTGCAATGGGAAAATAACAACGGCAGAGTCAAGTTTTTTTTTTTTTTAGTTTTAGTTTTAAGACTAGGGAGGGGAAAAAAAGCCCATTTCCCAAACCATATTTTGAAACACTCACCAACAGCTTCAAACAAAATCAGGCTCACAGACGTCACCCATAAAATATATACATACATGATAAATAGTTAAGACACAACCAAAATAAACAGCAGGTAACTAGTTTTTCTCTCTCTTTTTTTTTTTTTTCCTTCTCCTTTTTTAAATTGTAATGGTTGGGATGAAGGAAGCAAGGAAGGAAAGAGCAGGGAGACGGTGTTGATACGGTTGGTTTTAGTGCAGACGAAGAGAAGAGGGCTGAAAGCCTGGTGGGAGAAAGGAGACTTCTGAAATTCTTCTGCATTTTCCGACGGGATGTTCCTGTGCCAGAGCGATTCAAAGCAGCATTTGCGATTATACGTGCAGTCACTTCAAAATGCAACGTAGGGTGGCTCTCTCTTCTTCTTCCTTTGCTTTTATAAATATATATACTCAGACATATATATATATATATAAAAGGCAGATGAAGCTATACAAGTCCAATGAATCATTCTGCATTGAGAAGTGTTATCCAAGTTTCACCAAAAGAAAAAAAAAAAGTTCCCAAGCTATTTCTCAGTAGTTTTCAGGCATCTCTCCAGACAGCAGAGAGCGCTCACGGCCCTTTTCTGTGCAAAAGCAAATCCTCTGTCTCTAGAGTTTATTTCACTTTTTTTATATATATATATATATAAAAAAGTTCAGGATTTGCTAATCCCCCTTTACATACACACACACACAAAAATAGGATTCAATGTCCTTTTTCCTGTGATCTCACGTGTGCTAAACGGATTCAAGGAGCAGGTGAGGATGCAGGCTTTCTTCATACACCCCCCCCCCCAAAAAAAAAAAAAAAAAAWAAAAAAAAAATAAACACGCACACAGAAAAAGCCACCAGGCAGGGTGGGAAAGTGTGTCATATTCCAACAGAGTTTCCAAAAATAAAATAAAAAAGGAAAAAARTGAACAGTAGGAGAGCACTGGGAGAGGACAGCAAGGGGAGAAGCTCTCTCAGTGCGACCAGGACGCCCGTCGGGGGAGCCACCTGGCCCGGGGGTCGCTCCGCCTCGACGGCGGGGGAAGCACCACTAAGGGAATAAATGTTGAAATGAATTTGTTTCTGAGCCAGAATACTTTAAAATGGAGGGACAGGCCAGGACACGGGTTGACAGCGGACGGGGAGGAAGAAAAGGGTTAAACGTTCCCCGGGTTGGAGGGAGAAAAGGGGGATGGGGAGCATTTTAAAGCATCCGACCAGATGTCAAACTGAAACCGTGAATACTGTGAGTGCAGCCGAGGTAGATGGAGGAAAAAAAAAAAATTACAGTAGGAAAAAC